CCTGGAGCCTACTTTTAAAAAAAGAGAGAGACGGCGCCTGGGTGGCTCAGTTGGTTAAGCGACTGCCTTCGGCTCAGGTCATGATCCTGGAGTCCTGGGATCGAGTCCTGCATCAGGCTCCCTGCTCAGCAGGGAGTCTGCTTCTCCCTCTGACCCTCTTCCCTCTCGTGCTATCTCTCATTCTCTCTCTCTCAAATGAATAAATAAAATCTTTTAAAAAAATAAAAAAAGAGAGAGTCCATTTCTTGGTTTGCCTTTCTTTTCCCCTTTGTTCATTTTTGAACTTTTGAATAGATGAGTTGAGCCTTTTAGTTTATTAATTTGACTCTCTGCTTTTTATTATATATTTACCGTGTATGATGCTACATTCACTGCGTTTTTCACTATGTGATTTATTGCTTTTATTATTGTTTCTTTGAGCATTGAGGGAGATTTCTACTAGTGATTATCTTTGTACCTTTATATAATTCTTTGTCTCTTTTTTTCCTTACTTAAGCCCCAACTATTTGGTTTGTCAACTTTAAATGATGCCCTTTGGGCGCCTGGGTGGCTCAGTTGGTTGAGTGACTGCCTTCGGCTCAGGTCATGATCCTGGAGTCCTAGGATCGAGTCCCGCATCGGGCTCCCTGCTCAGCGGGGAGTCTGCTTCTCCCTCTGACCCTCCCCCCCATGTGCTTTCTCTCTCATTCTCTCTCTCAAAAATAAATAAAAAATCTTTAAAAAAAAAAAAGGAATAAGAACTTTCTCTAAAAAAAAAAAAAAATGATGCCCTTTGCCTTGTAATACTGCCTTTGCAACAAAGCCTACTTTGTACTGTCCTCCCCCTCTCTCCCTCCTTTTTCACTTATTTCATTGTTACTTCTACCTTGTCAAAGAATATCATTTGATACTATTCTTTCACCCCATCTCCTCTTTCATTTTGGTTTTAAATCTGAAACTAAAGATACTCAATGCTCACCACCAGTCCTTTTGCTGAAGTTCCCCAATCATCTCCTAGTTGGTTGAAGCTTATCTTTTAGTAAGATCCTCAGGGGTTATGAGTACAATATTTCCTGAGCTCTCACATGATTAAAACTTACATGTATCCCTGATACTTAAAGGACAGCTTAGCTTGATACAAACACTTATTCTGAGTTCCTGTTTTTTTTCTTTATACTTCTTGAAAATGTTGCTCCACCACTACTTGCTTTTTGAGAAGTCTGATGCCAACCTGACCTCTCCTTTGTAAGAGACTAGCTCTTTTGGTCTAGTCTTTTCCTCACCTTCAAAATTTAATAGTTTGCCAGGATATATCTCAGTTGATCATTCTGGGTCAACTTTTCTATGCAAGAAAGGGGCCCTTTCAAGATAAAGATTTAGGTCTTCTTTTTGCTTTTTCAGAAATTTCTCCTGGGGCAGTTTTGTTTTGTTTTTTTGAAGATTTTATTTATTTATTTGTCAGAGAGAGAGAGCACAAGGAGGGCGAGTGGCAGGCAGAGGGAGAAGCAGGCTCCCCACTGAGCAGGAAGCCTGATACAGGACTTGATCTCAGGACCCTGGGATCATGACCTGAGCCAAAGGCAGACGCTTCACTGACTGAGCCACCCAGGTGTCCCTCTCCTGGGGCAGTTTTAAGTATTAAGCAATTCCACTGTCTTCTTTTTTGGTAGCTTCTGGGAGCTCCAATTTTGCCTGTGTTACTTCTTCTTTACCTATCATTTTCGTTCTGGACCTTTTCAGCTCTTCCTCTGTATTTTTTGCTGTCTTAGCTTTTGTCATTCCCAACTTCTATATGCTTTACTGTACTTGTAGTCATCTCTATTTTTATTTGAATATGTTGTGATTTTGTCTTCATATCTATGATGATTTTAATTTTTTGTTCAAATTGTTTCCCAAGCTTGGTCATTTCTCTTTTCACATATCCCTGTTGCTTTTTCATTTTTTTTTAAAGATTTTATTTATTTACTTGACACAGAGAGAAAGATAGTGAGAGAGGGAACACAAGCAAGGGGAGTGGGAGAGGGAGAAGCAGGCTTCCTGTGGAGCAGGGAGCCTGATGCAGGGCTCAATCCCAGGACCCCGGGATCATGACCTGAGCCAAAGGCAGATGCTTAACAACTGAGCCACCCAGGTATCCCGCTTTTTCATTTTTATTCTGAGTTTTAAATTTTCTGAACTGTGGTATCTTTCATACCCACAATTGTTCCAAAATTTATTTTAGAGTTCATGTTGGAGGGTTGTTACAGTTCACTCTCTTTTGTTCTATTTTGGAGTATTTCATCAGCTTGAAAAGTTATGATTCTCACTTTGTTTTCTTCCTGTATTTGTATACACAGTGAATTCCTTGTTCTATTTATGTTGACATGCTTGCAATAACAGGCAACCCTATGGGGGCAGAGGTAAAATGGGAAATGGATTGAGTGGCTTTCACTGTTTCTTGGTCCAAGAAAATCTTTTTCTGTTGGTCGATGTAAAATTTCTTTAATGAGTAATATCTAGTAGGGGTGGGAAAGTTGTCCATTTTCTTCTGAATCTTTGACTCGCCATTAATAGGCTGTTATCTTCAGCTTTCTGCTTTCTTTCTCATGTTACAGCTCAGGTGCAAGGAGGTGAAACCCCCTGCTAGGGACACCACTTCCTTTCAAGATGACTTCATCTCTCTTAGAAGTGATGCTGCTGGTCCCACTCATTTTCTAAACCTCTTCCTTTGACGTCCCCCTCTCCACTGCCTTGATCGACCAGGTCCCAGACCTGGTTTGCAGCATTCTTCCACTCTGGATGGAAACCACAAGTAGTCTGGTTTAACTGAAGTTCCAATTTAGGCAAGGGCTTGCAGCAGAGGTAAAATTTGAGGGATTCTCAATTTGAGGGAAGCAGATCACGCAGGACTTTATCTGTAGGCTTTTGTGATACGTTGAGCAAGGAATAAAGGGATCCAAAGTAAAACGGGAGGGAAGGGAGAAAGGAACTGCTTTAGGAGTTAACAAAGGAATAACCAAACTCACTCAGTGACTGATCTGACATGGCAAAGGGGGAGGACATCTGAATTTGAGGTTTGGGTTCTTCAGTGAATGGATGGATGAATGGTGGTGCCAGTTCACTGAAACAGGAACACGAGAGGAGGAGGTGTGGGGAAGGGCAAGGGAAGATAAGTGGAGTCTGAAGCACCCCTCTGAGACTTCTAATAGACTCCAAGGAAAGTTCTGGATGGAAGCATAGGTCTGGGTGTTCCTGGCACAGAAGCAGTGGTTGAAACCCAAGAAAAGACGAAATCATCCAACAAGAGAGGAGAGAATGGGAGAGAAAAAGAGATGAGGATAAAAATTTGGGGACCAGCAATAATTAAGGACTACACAGAGCATTACTATCAGTAAAGAAGAAGGAATGAAAGCTCAGGAAAGCAGGAGAAAAGTTGGAAAGAATGACTATCAAAAAAGAAGACAAGGACGGAAATAATTACTGTAATGGATTAAAATACATAAAATATATTAAATGTATGGTATTGACACTAAAAATAAAAACCCACTTGCTGTTAGAGGATGCTTGGGAATCAACCCATTATTTTGAAAACTGGTGAACAGAGGAAAGTATTTATCCAGCCTCTCCTAGCCCCTTTGGGTAATTGGACAGGGAATGTCTCTCACACAGAAGAATTCTGGGTAATAAATGAAGAAGAATAACAAAATTGTATCCCTAGTGAACTAATGGAGCTAGGCTTGAACATCCCCCAAATGAGATAAAACCAGACATATGTGCCTCCCAGTGGAAGAACACACCATTTTATGAAATTGTCCGACATAAAAAGGGAAATCATCACACGTGCATCGGATCAAGCCTCTAGGTCAGTGGTTATGAACCAGGGGCAATTTTGCCTTCCCATCCCCACCAGGAGATAATGTGGCAATGCTTGGAGACATTTTGGATTGTCATGACTTGGGGAGGGCGTGCTACTGGCATCTGGTGGGTTGAGGCCAGTGACCCTGCTGCCCCCCACAACCAAAACTTACCCAGCCCCAAATGTCAATAGTACTGAGGTTGAGGAGCTCTGTATTAGATCCAATCACCAATTTATAGGAAATACAGAGGATAGAGAATATGTTAAATGACACCCCGGAAAAAGAATCAACAAAATCCAGAATTAGAGAAATGCTCCCTGAAGGAAGGGATGGAGGGAGGGAGGTGCTGCCCTGTACTACCTGGGAGAGGGCCCCTGCAAGTGGTCTGGTGTGCCAGGGAGTCAGGCAGCCTGTGGGCAGAGCTGATGGGAGGGGACAGGAAGCTTGGTCATCAGCCCTGTCAAGCTTTTTGGGTGGGAGGTAATGAGTTACAAAAGGTGGGCATGGGGAGGGAGGACAGATCACGGAAGATGAGGGGACAGAAACTGGGAGGTGAGAAGGGCAAAAACTTGACGGAGGGGTTAGCACGGGGAAGACAAGAAAGGAAGACACTAGGAAGCCCTTCAGGCACTGAAATGAGGAGGGAGGAAGCAGCTGAGGAGGTCATCATTGGAGGAGGGAGGATGGACCACAGGGTCACAGTATGGGGGGGGCAGGTGGCTGTGGGTTACAGTTTGAGGAGAAGTAGCCAAAGAGTCAGAGTTGGGGAAGAGGTTGCTAGGGTGGGGGTACGAGGGATAGCTTTGTCTCCCCTGTTCTGCTGATTAGGTCCCTATATTAGCTTTACTTCTGCATTTGAAAGGGGAAAAGTCACCAATTTTTACTGGACATATCCCAGACTCACTGTTTTATCTTGCCTCCCAAGATAAAGGACAGGAAAAGACAGATGCTTTCCTGCCCTGGGCACAAGGGCACAGAATCAGCCCATTTATGTTCAGGAAGATGTGCTAAGGTGGGCTTCAGGTGGTCCCGGGCAGGGCTGGAGCACCGCAAGGAGTCAGGTGGGTAGGCGGAGTCACTCAGGACGGGGAAGAGGGTCTCTGCTGTCCAGGAGGAGCACGGCGTCAAGTGGGACCAGTGAGCCTGGGCAGCCAGGGCTAATAGGGGTGCCTGGGCCTGAGGAATTCACTCTGGAGGCCCCCGGGTCTGGGACAGGATTCTCTGCTCAAGCTTGGCGTATTGCGGGAGAAGGGCCTCGTAGACCTGGAGGGGCAGAAAGAGCAGTTTAAGAATGGGGAGGGAGAGGTGCCTCTCATCTCTTAGCAACTTGCAATTTTTAAAATTTAGCATCCCATTTACTTGCAATTTAAGTGTCTGTGCTGGGCAAAGGAAAGGAAGCATCAAGTCTCAAAAGAGGAAAAGCTAGTAGTTCTCAAACCTACAGTTTAAGATCTTTTAAAAATGCAAATTAGGACCAAAAAATTTGTTATCAAATCTACAAAATTTTTAAAAATTCTGGTGAAGGTACCTGGAAATGCTGGCTTATCGCACAGCTGGTGAAGTTGGTGGTGCAACCCTTCTGGAAATCAACTTGACTGTACATTGGTATTAAAGGGCTTGAAAATGCCCATAGCCTTCGACCCATTTATTCTACTTCTGCAAAGCTCTCCTAAGGAAACCATCCTAAATGTGGGGTGCCACACCTGACTAACCGTCCAGTCTCCTAAGACTACCATGTGCCACACCCTGGCCCTCAACAGGACACACTGGAGAAACATACCTGTTGGCACAGTGCCTGCAGGTGCTTCTCTTCAGTGAAAAACCGCATAGTGGTCCTTATAGCAGTTTGCACAAGTGTCCAGGAAAGGGTCTCCCTGTGCCCCATGTTACAGCTCAGGTGCAAGGAGGTGAAACCCACGTCATACAGATGCAAGAACCACCCTGGCTTTGAAACCTCATGCCCCACAGGAGTATCTCTTTTAACAACTCCATAGGCAAGACACATGCCCATGAGACGTCACTGGACTCAGGGAAGCCCTAAGTATGACTTCCCATCAGGTATATATGGTTTTCCCACTCCAGATGCAGTGCCCTAATTAAAGGCCATTTTTACATAAGCAATGCCGTGTACCCATACTGTGACATTCCAAAGGAAACAGAGCTAGAAGTAACCGAAGTTCAAATTCTCATGCAGAACAGGAAACAGTTTTGTTAACCTTTTACCCACATAATTTTAATTGCAGTAATTAAAAGACTAGAGGGGCACCTGGGTGGCTCAGTTGGTTAAGCGTCTGCCTTCGGCTTAGGTCGTGGTCCCAGGGTCCTGGGATAGAGCCCTGCATTGGGCTCCCTGCTCAGTGGGGAGTCTGTTTCTCCCTCTGCTCCTCACATCTAGAGCGGCTCCTCACCCCGCTTGTGCTCTCTCTCTCTCTCAAGTAAATGGGTAAAATCTTTAAAAAAAATAAATAAATAAACTAGAAGCAACTGCTCTAAGACATATAAAACGCACAAGTAAATTATGGTTCATTAGCCAGAGAGAATATTATGCAGTCATTAAAAATAATGTATATGCTCATTTTTAAGAATATAAATACTCATGTTGTACTGTAGTGTTTTGTTTTTTTTTTAAGTGGGCTACAAAATTATATATACAGTGTGCTGGGTAATCAACCAAAACCAAAAACCAATAAGGGAAAAAGGTTTTTAAAAAGATTTTATTTTTGAATAATCTCTACACCCAACGTGGGGCTCAAACTCAGAACTCCTAGATCAAGAGTCCCACGCTCCACCAACTAAGCCAGCCAGGCACCCTTCACAACCCCACATTCTTAACCTTCCTTCCCCACTCCTTTTATAAAAAAAACAACAACAACAACAACAAAAAAAACTGTTTTCACTTGTGACTCTATAAGCCTTGCCTGAGAAACGTGGGCACTTCAGGTGAGCACATGGTGTCTTATAGACAAGGGACCCAGATGTCCTTGCGACTCACCGACACCACTACTAGTTCATTCCAATCCCACTCCTTCATTTGGCTTAATTAGCTCCAAAGTCAAGTACTCTAGTAACTGATTTTGCACCCAGGGCCCACTCTTGGCGCATCTGGGGCCACTCGGTGAAGGTGACAGAGAACAGAGAACTCATGGGGAGCTTGGATCTTGTCTGTCAAGAGGAAACTGCAATATTCAGCTGAGCCGAGAGAAAACACTGGTACAGTTTTGAGTTTCTACTTGAGCACAACCACTACTGTACATGCCATAGAGAGAACACAGAGGATGCTCCCCTGCTCCCAAGTTTACAAACCAGTCCTCCAATAGGTCATTACACCAACAGTCATAGACTGTTGCTGCTTGCAACCTGGTGTTACGAAGGATTCTGAGGTTGCACTTGGGTTGACGGGTACAGAGTTCCAGGAGGCTTTAGTGACTTTGGTCATGGGTGAGCCAGGGAAGGTGGGGGACACACACAGAGTGTTTGCTGCCTATAAGGAGACAGGTGCAGCTGCCCTAAAGCTTTCCCCAGCTACCTTCTCCCTCGTGGGCCTCCTTCTAGAGGCCAAAGGAGCCAGAACCTACCCTAGCCTTTCTTACAACCAAGGGTGACCATATGACCAAGTGGCCGTCTGGTGGGGGAGCTGAGAGAAATAGACCAGGATTCTCTCCCTGATGAGCAAGAAGTGCGTGAGGAGGGGCTGCCCAACGCCACGCTCTCACTCCTGCGTATGGATACAGTGGCGGGGGGGGGGGGCAGCGGGATGTTTGGAGAAGCGGCAGACATCCTGTGATCATCGGGAGCACATCTAGAGCGGCGCCACCCAACACCGTAGCCATAAGTCATACAAGCCTAGGAGCACTTGAACTGGGACTAGTGCTACAAGTCTAAAATGCACCTCGGATTTCAAAAGCTTCATACAAAAAAGAGGAATGTAAAATAGCACATTGGCAATTTTTCTTTTTTTTTTTTTAAGATTTTTATTTATTTATTTGAGAGAGAGCGAGCACATGAGAAGGGGGAGGGTCAGAGGGAGAAGCAGACTCCCCGCCCAGCAGGGAGCCCGACATTGGCAATTTTTCTTATTGATTACCTGTTGAAATAGCAATATTTCAGACATACTAGATTAGATAAAAAATATCTTTAAAGTTAGTCACTTATTTATTTTTACTTTTTTTTTTTTTTTTAATGAGACTACTAGAAAATTGGAAATGACATAGGTGGTTCTCATGGTGCCATTGTCTGTTGCTGATCTGTAGAACTGCAGGGACTATGACCCAGAGCCCTGACATTGTGGAACCACGGAACCAGCCCCACGACTACGACCCAGAGTCCTGACATTGTGGAACCACGGAACCAGCCCCACAACTACCTTCAGACTTCTTGTTACATAATGAAGCCATTCTAGTCAGGGAGTCTTTTCAAACTTCACAAAGAGTGGGTTAAAAGTAGGCAGGACCAGATGTTGTCCCCACTTCACAGATGCAGAAACAGGCTCAGAGATGAGAAATGCTGTTCAAGGTCACATGAAGGTCATATGCTGAAGGAAAGGCTGGGTAAGAGTGAAAACTCAAAGGCCCTTTCTATCAGTTTAAGGTCTTCCTACTGCACTGAGCTGGCTCTTACAGGTAAGGACACATGACATAAGGACAAAGTAATAAAAGCTTGGGCACACCTACACGTGTGGGTTACGTAGTCACCTGGAAACTGGGAGCTTCTGCTCCCAGATATGTTGGGAGACAATTCTCCATGGTGTTTCTATGTGACTGGTGACAGCTTTTGTTGCAGACTATCTTCTCAATGTTTATATGGCAAATAGCATTGGAAGATAGAGATAGAGTCGTCCTCTGCGGCAGAAGGAAAATTTATTTGCTGATCAGGCTAGTACAGATAATGTCTCCCTCGAGGGCAAAGGCTAGGAAGATCTGCTTGCAGCTCCTTTATAAGTTGGGAGTTTCCTAAGCTTGGGGTCACTCAGTTTTGATGCAGACACAGCGTGTGCACAGTTATCCTCCTGGGCCCACTCCACATCATCCAATGGCACTTCAGGGCCAAGGAAATCTGGTGCAAGCATGAAGTTCATGCTGACTGCTACATCAGTAATAATGCCCTCTGTCTGCGCAGCCCTGCTGCTGGGCTGCAAGAACCTTCTGGGAACAGGAACAGAGGTACGGTGGATGCTATGGCATACCACCCAGATTGCCCTTCAAGAATGAAGACCTTATTCTCCCAGTCCTCAGCTGACGGCCCCCTTTGGGGATGGCTTTGGCTAGAGAGTGCTGCCTTACCCCATCCTGGGGTGGCCTGCATACAGAGACTGGCTGACATAAGGTATAACGGCCCGGCCCCCTCACCCCAGCTAGGTTAAAGTCCAAAGAGTCAGCCCAGCTTCAGGACTCCCTCTAGGACTGGCTGAGGGCTCCAGGGAGATTGCCCTGGGGCTCACCTCCTCCCTCTGCCCCATCCTGCCTCCTCATTTCCCCCTCCACAGATATAGATCCCAAGAGCACCCCCAATAAATGTCCTACACCCTAATTGGCATCTCAGGGTCTGCTTTCCAGAGAACCCAAGCTGTAACAAGCGGGGTCTGCCTTCCCAGGGATTTCCTGGCCTGGGGAACCGCACACCTGTCTTGGATCCAGAATTCAGATCTGAGAGCTAGAAACGTAGCATTTCTTACGCTTAAGTGACAGAATCTTTCTGTGGCTTCTGTAAGCCGTGAAATGTAAGGGCCCATCCTGAAGGCATATGGAACACTGAAGATACACCCAGCAATCGATCTGACCCCTGGGGCTATAAAATCAGCACGATCTATAAATCTCAGTTGACAACCTGGCTCCCTTTTGCTCTGTTTCCTTGACAATTAAAAAACCAAAAAGTAGGATTTCCCCATTAGCTGAACACATCAACTTTAAGTGACAGAGCAAAACTTACCTTTTGGAAAAAAGAACCTACAGTTGACCTTGAACATCATGGGTTTGAACTGTGCAGGTCCAAGTACAGGTGGATTTTTTTCGATAGAGTAGATGGTAAATGCATTTTGCTTATTATTTTCTTTTCTCTAGTTTATTTCATTTTAATAATACAGTATATAACACATACAATATATAAAATATGTAGTGATTGACTATGTTATCAGTGAGGCTTCTGGTCAACAGTGGGCTATTAGCAGTTTTGGGGGGAGTCAAAAGTTATACGCACATATTCGTGTCTGCAAGGGGATTGGCACCCGTCACCCATGTTGTTCAAGAGTTAACTGTGGTTGGTTTTCACAATGCAAAGGCTATGACCAAATTCTGATGGTCTCTCACCTGAGCAGCTCCTGGGGTTGGGGTAGCAGCTAATCTGGGATTTGGGGCTAACTTCACAACCTCTGAAAAGGGCACGTCTGTTCCAGCTGCAAGGCCCAGGAGAGAAAGCTCATTTCACATCAGTGCATGTTGCAAATGAAGACATTAACTGAAAATAGCATCTTATCTCTGGGGTGATAAAATATTCTAAAACAGGATTATGGTGATGGTTGCACAACTCAGTAAATTTACTAAAAAAATCACTGAATTGTACACTTAAAATTGGGTGACGTTTATGCCATATAAATTGTGCCTCGGTAAAACTGTTCGAGAAAAAGAGAGAGAGAGGAGAGAGAAATTTGATGTGCAGACCTCTCCCCAGCAAGGCCTAGTTTGTCTTGCTCAGCGGGACAGCACCTGTCATAGCAGGGCGGCTAGCCCCTGGCACCTGACAGGAGAACTTACCTGCCTCTCGTCCCTCACCTGGCCCCACTCCCCATGGCTCAGTGCACCGAAGCCACCCCAGGCTTCTTACGATTCCTTCTACCTCAGCCTTTTCACTGTGTCGAGTGTCCCGGTCTCCTCTCTTCACAGACCTAAACTCTTCTCAGACCAGCTGCTGCCCACAATGTCCCTTGTTCCAAGGCTCCCTAACCCTCTACCCCTAAGTACCATCTGCTGTCCTCAGAAACTTCGTACAATTTCTGGCCCCAGATTTAAGGTCCCTCCCTTGCTGAGCTCCCAAAGCTCTGTGAAGCCAGGGACTGGGTCTCCAGAAGAGCCCTGGGGCCTCGCACACCGCCTGCATACCCGAGGCACTCAATAAATACTCCCCAAGCAAATGAGCGCAGGGCTGGAGAGGAAGGGAGGCTGCTGTCGGGGGTCAGGAAAAGTGAGGAATTTGTAGGCGGGTTAGGGAGTACTATCAGATAGGCAGGGAAACACAGGACCACTTCGAGTGAGGCAGGGCCCGGGGAAGACACGAGGTTTCCAAGCAGATGTTGGGATATCTAGGCTCAGAGCTGTATGGGAACGGGGTGGGGGGGGGGGCAGCAGAGAGACCAATCAAAAGACACTGGTCCCTTGGCCACTCATTCAGAGACCGCCTATGTGTGAGGTTCAGCCTGGATGCGGCTGGGGAGAAGAGATGTGAAGTGGCTGAGACACCTCAGGGTGAGGACCGGTGTGCTTGACTTAGCCTGGGCTTCAGTTTTGGAGGGCAGAGTGGGCAGTACCCCAGATAACCTCTGGCAACGCAGTAGGCACAGAAAAGGAAAAATAAAAAAGAAACGCAGTGCCACATAGCAGTGGAGTCCCTAAAGGGCAGTGCCTTTCCCACTTTAGAAGGAGGAGTGAGACGTGGGCTCTGGGCTTCTCATGGGCAGCACTAAGGGCCAGAAGATTATGGAACAGTATTTTCAAGGTACTGAGGGAAAGTATTTTGAAGTTAGAGTCCTTTGCCCAAACAAGTAACATTCCTTTTTTTTAAGATTATTTATTTATTTATTTATTTATTTGAAAGAGAGAGGGAGAGCACAAGTGTGGAGGGGGGGAGGAGCAGAGGGAGAGGATGAAGCAGACTCCCCACGAAGCAGGGAGCCCGACATGGGGCTCGATCCCAGCCAAAGTCAGATGCTGAACCGACTGAGCCACCCAGGCACCCCACAAGGTAGCATTCTTTTGGAGGGTGAAACAAAGCCCACGCTGGACATGTAAGGCCTCTAAAGTTATCACCTACTGAATTCCCTCTTAAACTTACCGAGGTTGTAGAGTCCAACAAAACTATCTCGGAAAAGAAAAAGGAGAAAGAAACTGCAGGGAATTAGGAAAAGAGAGAGGAATTCATAAGGAAGTGCAAATAAAAGCCAATATGATGTAAGTTTAATTAAAAACACAACCTGGAAATAAATTACCCAGTGATCTTGACACAGGAGGTGGCATGAGGTGGGGTGAGGAAGATAGGGTAGACAGGAAGGGGGTAAAAGAGCAGGAGGTTAATTATTAAGAGAAGGATCTGATCCCTGATTAATTCTCAATGTTGATAGAAACATGTAAGTTTAAATAGGTGTGTTAAAAAGTGAAGAGTAAATGCATGAAAAGAACTGCCAGAGGAAAGAGAGCCCTTGAGGTAAATGGGCAGCTGGAGGAGCAGTCTGAGCAGGCAGCGGACAGGGCAAATTGACTAAATGGGCCCCTTGTGGGCATGGGCAGCTCCCAGGAGAACCTGCCTAGATGGGGGAGATCCGAGTTTCAGCGAGGCTGCCATCAGAGCGATGGGCCCCCATGGAGCTGTCCAGGGTACTGGACTGTTTGGCTCTGAAGCCTTCAGCTTTGTCTCCACTTCCTGCATTTGCTGAAAAGATGGCCCTGGACTTCATCCACCTCTCCTGCCCGCCAGCTGTCCAGACCCACACCCATGTGCCCTCAAGCATGTCCTGCGTTCTTTCCCAATGTCCCTGTGCTGAGCCTGACCATGACCAAGTCTCATTCAGTTAGGAACCTACTTTTCTTTCCCCACTTTAAGTACAGAATAAAAGAACAGAAGGTTTGGGTTGGTTCTTGCCTGCTGGGAGGAGAAAAATGAAACTAAAGCCCAAGACTCCAATGTCCCTGAAGACTGGGAACATTCCAATCTCCCCTTTCTATCCTCCTCAGCCCCGCCAGGGCCCCAACTCTTCCAGAAGCCTCTGTTCCCCATCCCGCGACCTACCGTGGAAAGCTCGGTATGCAGAGCCCACACAGGCCGAGTTGGCAGTGTCTGTGACATGCACTGGGGCACCAAACACATCTGCAAGCACCTGGAAAGGAGGGAGCTTTATACTGTGGTAAGCCATTCCTCGGGGGGAACACGGACATTTGGCACACATGCTCTACACTCTTTCCTCATGTGTCTTCTGATGTCTTCCATTCCACCTCTACTGCCTTAAAGGGAGTATACTCAGCCATGCCACCCTGATAATAATAGAGTCAGGATGACCTGGGGGAAGTCTCTAGTGGAGGGCCACAGCTCTCCAGGTTGTCCCTGCACTATTTAACCATTTTATCAAAGACAAGGAGGAAGATTTAGGAAGTATACTTAGCAAATGGTTAAGGTGGAGATGGCTGGAGATAGAGACTAATGTCAACAAGCTCAAACAAACCCAAACTAAGGGGGCAGGTCTTATAGGGATAAGGATAAATTTTTCCATTTAGCTCCCCAAAATAAATTGCATAATTTTAAAACGGAGGACCTCTACTCAGTGGAGCTCACATGGAAAAGACTTGGGAGTCTTAGTTGACCGGAAATATTACAGTGGATGCCACTGATGCCCCACCTGGATTCCATTACTGGACTGGTGTGCATCTCTCCCCCAGATGCTGTGAGTATCGGCTGCTAATGGCTTACAGCTGCCCCTCCTCAAAGGAATTGCTCTTGGCTGAACAGAGGATGCCTCTCATAGGAGGTTATTCTCACCTCTCTCCAGGTTAGCCACTTGGCCCCCTTACCCAAGGTGGAAACAAGTCTGTGGTACAGTTCACGTTTCAGATCGTCCCTATGGGATGGAACTGAAGCTGAAATCACATTCTTGCTTATCATTTCCCTCGGCGCTACCTGCCCCCCTCACTCTCTTCTGGGAGCACCTTCTCAACAATCCACTTATAGAAGAATTCCCATCTCAGGCTCTTTTTTTACAGAATCTTACCTGAGACAGGTATATTATAAGTCAATAGTTGATACAGCCTCAGGCTACATCCAAAAATGCTCAGTGTCCCAGTAAGACCCTGACAGCCCCATGGTGTGATAGCTTGACTGTCAGATATCTGCAGGAGCAGGAACAGAGGCAGGCCTTATTGGACAGTGTCAGGCTCTTAGAAGTAACAGACATGGAAGAGGCCCTACTGCTTGGCCTATCACTAACACATACCTGTAAGATGTCTCTGTTGCGAGATGCCCCTCCAGTGGCCAAAATCTTTGTCTTGGGCACTGCAAGGAAGAAGAAAACACTGATGGCTGTAATAATCTCAAGACAAAAAAGACTTTTCTAGAGTTCTTCAGCCACAAAGGGCTTGTACTGGACCAATGCCTCTTGCTCATCACACAGAACTCAAGGAGAGCTCCAGAGCTGGCACTGTCCATGCAGGCTTGTCACAAGTAATTTGCTTGTGAGGCTGCTGCCCCACTGACCTCTTACTGTCTTCATTTTTTTAAATCATTAAAAAAAAAAAAAAAAAGAATCTGTCAACAAACCAGGAACAAAAGGGAACTTACTTAAATTAATAAAGGCCATCTATCCAAAGTTTATAACAAACGTCATTCTTAACAGAAACACTTAGACGTATTTTCTTTAAGACTGGTGTGTCTCCCAGACCTCAAAAAAATGGCTTCCAAATGACCCTTGCCTCCCGATATGTTTACATTCATGTCGTTCCCTCTCACAGTCAATAGGGCTGACTCCTGTGACCTGTGGGATATTGTGTAAATGGTGGAGCGTGAGTTCCAAGAGTAGGTCATAAAGGACATTGAGGCTTCTATCCTGTTCTGTTGCAGATCACTCTCTTGGTTCCCTCACTTTGGGGACTCCTGCCAACAGCCATGTGAGCTGGCCACATGGGAAGCAGATCCTGCAGCCTGAGTCAAGCCTTCAGATGACTGCAGCCCCAGATGACATACTGACTTCAACCTTAGAAGAGACCTCAGCCAGAACGACTGAGTTATGCTAATCCCAAATTCTTGACACACAGAAACCATGTAAGATAATAAATGTTCATTGTTGTTTTAAGCTGCTAAGTCTTGCAGTAATTTGTTACACAGCAATAGATAATTAATAGTAAGAACAAAACAAAGACTCATATTATCCAATACACTGTCACATAGTGCTAGTTTTACTAGCCACGCCTATAAGGCAAGAAAAATAAACAAATATATAAGGATTGAAAGAAAGTAAATAAAACTACCATTATTATTTATGGACAATAAACTATCTACTTAGAAAAATTAAAAATAGGCAAACTAATTAAAGTTTAATAAGGTTGCCAGATATAAAAAAGTCAACTTACAATAATCAGTGGCATTTCTAGCAATAACCAATTACCAAATGTGATAGAAAATAAATTACCATTCACAATGGTAACCAGAAATATAATGTAGCTAGGAAATACCTTAGCAAAGAATTCAGAAGTCTCTATGAGGAAAAAAAAATGGAAATTGTTATTAAAGTACAAAAAGGAATATCTAAGTAAATTAAAAGATATTCCACAGTCTTGGGTGGATTTGAACTAACATTATAAAAGTGTCAATTTTTTCAAACTAATTTATAAATTCAATGCAACCTAAATAAAAATTCTAACTGGATTTTTTTTAAGGAACTGAATCAAGTTAGTATAAAATATTTACGGAAAAATAAAGATCCATAAATGGCTAAGACAACACTGAAAAAAGAAAAGTGAGGGGGTGAATTGCTATATTAGACATTAAGACGTGTTTTGGGCTGAACTGTGTCCCCTCAAAATTTGTATGTTGAAGTTCTAACTCCTAGTACCTCAGAATGTGACTGTATTTGGAGATAAAGACAGATACATGTTTAAAAAGGCAGTTAACTGAAATGAGGCCATTAGGGTGGCTCTAATCCAATATGGCTGTTGTCCTTATAAGAACAGTCTATGAGGACACACAGAGGGAAAACCATGTGAAAACAGAGTCAAGGAGAGAGGCCTCGGGGAAAAACGACCATGCTGACACCTTGATCTCAGACTTTTAGCCTCCAGAATTGTGAGAAAATTAATATCTGTTGTTTGATGCATCCAGTCTGTGGTACTTTGTTATGCAGACCTGGCCAACTAATACATACTACAAAGCCATAATAATAGTTTGTCCCAAAAACAGACCAAAAAACCAATGGAGTGGAAAAGGGGATGGGGAGAGAGACCCACATATATATAAAAACTTGATAAATGATAAAGAAGGCACTACAAGTAATGGAGGAAAAGAGAACTGGGTCACCATGCGGAAAAAAAATTAAACTGGATCCTGATTTATACCATTCACAAAAGTGAACTCCAGAAGGATCAGAGTCCTAAATGTGGAAGTTATACGAACAGTACAAAATGTAAAAAAAACAAAACAAAAAACATTTCTGTGGAACTGAAAGAGGGGAAAACCTCTTCAACAATATCTCAAGAGCATAAAATTTAAAACGAAATATTGGCAGGTTTAATTTAATAAAAATTCTGTTCAGTTGCCAACACTATAAATAAGGTTAACAGGGCGCCTGGGTGGCTCAGTTGGTTAAGCGACTGCCTTCGGCTCAGGTCATGATCCTGGAGTCCCGGGATCGAGTCCCACATCGGGCTTCCTGCTCAGCAGAGAGTCTGCTTCTCCCTCTGACCCTCTTTCCCTCTCGTGCTTTCTATGTCTCATTCTCTCTCTCTCTCTCTCTCAAATAAATAAAATCTTTAAAAATAAATAAATAAATAAATAAATAAGGTTAACAGACAAATGATAGAAGACGCTTGTGACACAGAAGCTGACAAGGATCTAGTAATATTCGAAGTATCTGATAAACTCCTGCAAAATGTTAAGAAAAAGATGGGAAATCCAATACGGGGGAAATGGTAAAAGATACAAACCGCCAATTCACGGGGTAAAAAAACCAAAGTTACAAAGAGCTGTTCAAAGTCATTATTAATGAAAAAAAAATGCAAATGAAAGTAACACTGCGATACTAGTTTACATCCATCCCTCAGATTAGCAAAGGAGTCAAAGGTGCTTAATGCTAAGTGTTGGTGGGGATGCGGGAACGCTCATGCACTGACAGTAGACCGATGATTTCAAAAACTCAAGAGTCTGACCCTGTCTGTCTCTACCCACTTCCACTGAGCAGCAGCAGTGTCTGACCTCGAGCTAAAGAGCAGCTACCTGGGGAGGGTGCCTGGGGGGCTTGAGGGGAATCAGAACTTGCAGTACCACTGAGCTTCCTGGGCACACGTGGAAAGGGACAGACATGCACCCATCAGAGAAATAAGCTGCATTCATCTTCCAACCAGAATAAAAACCTGTTGATTTTGGCATGTGGAGAGCCTTCATAGGGAGGACTCCAGCTTTAACGCTTGTACAGTGCTCACAAGTTTCAGCTTAAATCTGCCTGTTGTCACCCCATCTACTTCCCCAGCCTGGAAGGGGCAGGTGGGGTGGGGGTGGGGGGCACTGGGAGGAGGGACCTTGCTTGCTGTCTCCACTGAGAACCAGTTACTCATTCAGTACTATGAACCTGCAGCCAAGACAACTGAGAAAAATTAATGGTGTGAAATAGAAAGATCAATGTGAACAGACTACCTCAGAAGGAAAAGAACCCAGGGAACAAAGGGACAAATTTGAAAAAATTCCAATATTTTATCCTCTGGTGTATTTGAACGGGTATAAGTCCATAAAAAAGAATAAACCATTATGAAGAAGAACTGGGAAACAAGAAAGAGTTCTAAAAATTAAAAAAAACGATATATGAGGGGTCCTGGGTGGCTCAGTCGGTGAAGTGTCTGCCTTCAGCTCAGGTCATGATCTCAGGGTCCTGGGATTGAGCCCCATGTCGGGCTCTCTGCTCAGTGGGGAGTCTGCTTCTCCCTCTGCCTCTGCCCCCCCTCCTGCTTGTGTTCACTCTCTCTCGCTCTCAAATAAATAAATTCTCAAAAAAAAAGATAAATGATTACAAACATATTTAGGTGGAAAAACTAAACAGTAGACTAAACACAGCCATATCTAATGTAATAACCTGGAAGATACAATCCAGGAAATTCCCTATGATTTAAAGTGATAAGGAAAGAGAAAGAATAAAGTCAGAAGACACAGAATTCATTTATCATTTTAGAGTTATTCAGTCTACAGATACTTAGGGAGAGGCCAGTTGCCACCTGGTAGTGGTTTAAGAAGTGGGAATAGATAGTTTAACAGGACAGACGAGATTCTTCCTCCCAGAGAGCTCATTTTCTAGTTGAGGGAGGACAGACCAGAAACAGATAAATTTAAAAACAGAGCATGATAGTGACAAGTTCATTTTTTAAAAAATTCTATTTACTTATTTATGTCATCTCTACACCCAACGTGGGGCTCGAACTCACGACCTCAAGATGAAGAGTCGCATGCTCTTCTGACTGAGCCAGGCAGGGGCCCCTGAGAGTGACAAGTTCTATGACAAAATAAAGCAAAGTGCAATTAGGGCCAGAGAGCCAACATCTGGTCTGCATAAGACAGGGTTTCTCAAGCTTGGCAAAGCTGACATTTGGGCTGGATAATCATTGGCTGTGGGGGCTTGTTGCGCACACTGCAGAATGTGCAGTGGAATTCCTGGCCTCTACCGGTGAGATGCCAGGAGCACTCCCCGTTTGTGACACCAAAAATGTTTCCAGATATCATCAAAAATCCTCAGGGGGGCAAAAGCACCTCTGTCAGAAACCACCGGCCTAATATGAATTCTAGTAAAAAGAACAGAGAAAATGAAGGGAAATGAATCATCGGAGAAATGATGTAATAAATTTTCCCAAGGTAGAAACAGTCAGATATATTCAGGCAAAAGGGGCCAGTGGGTGCTCGGCACAATGAAGGCATAAGGCCTATACCCAGACTTTAGTTGAGAAATTTCCAAAATCCTAAGAAGATTCTAGAAGATTCTAGAGGAAAAAAATACCATTCAGATGGGCTTCTCACTGGCAACGCTAAAAGTCAGAAGACAACAGAACATTATTTTCAAAGTTCTAAAATAATATGATCTTTGAATTCAGAATTCCACATATTATAAAAGTAGCATTTAAGTGTGAAGGCAAAATTAAACTATTTTCATACAGTCAGAGACCATTCCCCTTACCCCCACCTCTACATGAAAGAATTAGTCAAGGATGTCCTGAAGCAAAGATGAAAGCCAAATACAAAACCACTTAGATGTGTGATATAATAAATAGTGGTAATCAAGGAAAGCCGCCAAGTGTATAATTTAAATATTATGGATGCGTAATGCACCCTGAACACTAACATCCTGGAAATGGAAAATGGGAGGTAAAGAAGAGAGAAGAGGGGGCGCCTGGGTGGCTCAATCGGTTAAGCGGCTGCCTCAGGTCATGATCCCGGGGTTCCGGGATCGAGCCCCACGTTGGGCTCCCTGCTCGGCGGGGAGTTTGCTTCTCCCTCTGCCTGTAGCTCCCCCTGATTGTGCTCTCTCTCTCTGTCAAATAACTAAATAAATAAATGTGGACTGGGCTAGTGAATGGCAGCACCTGTGCCGACGTGGCGCCTGAGTGAGCAGGTCCAGCCTAAAGGTATTTGATTAACAAAGTAAGCATTATGCCAGCCAAACACGACAAGTTCCAGAAACATAATCCATACACTCAGGTTGTCAGTTTACTACCAATACCTGTTACACAGAAGAGAAGAAGCAAGGAAAAATCAGCCAAGGGCCTGCACAAGACTGTTCATAGCAGCACGGCTGGTAACACGTGCAAACGTACGTCACAGAACAATGGTTAAACGGATCACGGTACAATCACGATGGAACACCACAGCACCGTGAGAGCTGACAACTGGTAGCTACGCTAATTCACACCGGTGAATTCATGAACATAATGTCGAGTTAGAGAAGCAAGTCACCTAAGAACGCGGGTCAGTCCACACGGCAGCCGGGAGAATGATGCCTCACGTTTGTGCAGCCCTTCTTGGCTCCAAGCGTGTTCATTTATGTAATCTTATTTGAGAGGAACCCAGCAGACCTAGCAAGACAGGTTTGATACTGCCTTTAAGTCTGCTAAGAGGATAAGTAACTTTATGCAGGTTTGCACAAAACTGCTTTAAAGGCTGGGAATGATGGCATGATTCCATCACCCCTCCAGTGCCCAGGAGGACTTCTCTGTTCTCACTGCCTCTTCCTGCACACTGTTGGGGCCAGCCCCCCACAAAGTGCTGCCTTCTGCTGGCCAGAGGACCCTTCATGCCGGGCACTGGGTGCCGATGTCAGCACCATCCCTGCCCTGCTCACCGATCTCACTTTTCAGAGGATTTTGAAATCTTTGGAGACCTCTGGGGGAATGTCTTTCTTTTTTTTCTTTTTAAGATTTTATTTATTTATATGAGAGAGAGTGGGAGAGAGAGCACGTGCAGGGGGAGGGGAAAAGGGAAAGGGAGAAGCAGACTCCCCGCTGAGCAGGGAGCCCGACACAGGACTCCATCCCAGGACCCTGGGATCATGACCCGAGCCAAAGGCAGACACTTAACTGACTGAGCCACCCAGGCATCCCTGGGGAATTTCTTTCTACACTTTTGAGTGATGGAATGGAGAGAAATGGAAATGTTTATCATGATCATTTTATTTGTTTTAAAATTTGTGGTGAACACATGTACACCCTGAAAAATGTAGGTAACACCTCGTAAGCCGACAGCTTGACAAATTTTCACAAACTCAAGACACCCATGTAACTCAGGAAAGAGAACACCACCAGCACCCGAGAGGCCCTCTTTCTCTGAAAGGTAGCTGTTCGCTGCCCTGGCTTCCAGTGACAGTCTGGTTTTAAACTTGATGTACACAGAATCTTGCCACACACACTTTTGTGTCTGGCTTCTTTTGCTCTGAGTGACATCTGTGAGATTCATCCATTTTGTTGCCTGTGGTGGAGGCTGGTTTATTTTCATTTCGGTGTAGCATCACATTGCATGAATACCCCAGAATGCATGTCTCCTGTCTACTACCCATGGGCGCTGGGTTCCAGCACAGGGCTAGTAAGCACCGTGCCATGATGAATGCTCTCCTGTACGTCTTTAGAGACCATGTGTACACATTTCCGTTATGCATGCACAGAGAGGCGAGACTGCTGGGGAGGTGTGTGTGTGTGCAACTTCTCGGAAGGCTTACCTAATGCTGATTTCTAGAGTATGCTTGCACTTGGTTGGTTCAAAGACAGAAAACATACTACACAGAGCTCAGATTGTCCATAAAAGTGTCATGAGGAGGCGCTCAAGCAAAGAGGCTTCAGGGGTTTTCTACCCTCTCTAGTGACAACAGCTGCTGCCCAGGGAGACAAATACATCTTAGAGACCTGGACTCCACCCTCCTGGCAGAAGCCCCCGCCCCAGACCATTCCAGGGCCAGCAGTAAGGGGAACTCACTGCCCTCCTAAAGCTGCCCGTTCCATAGCTCAAGTTCTTAGAAATCCCTTTCTCCCCGCGGGGGTCCCCCCCCCAACCTGCCCTGCCCTGCCCTGCCTTTCCATTCCAGACCTCTCAGATTGGACAGTGGTTCTGCATCCCCACTCTTCCCCATCCAAGCTGAAGTGCTCAGACTGTGCCCCACAGGCAGATGGCCCCAGCCTAGACCTTTCCCACCTGCATTGCCCATGTCCTCAGGGTCTGGAGCTTGGGACACTGCATTTGCACGTTGGAGGTCCGGGTTACAGAAAGGTCTCTAAGTGCTACAGCTACTTGCCAGGAGGTCAGGCTACTGGGGACAGAGCAGAGAAGCAGGAACAAGCTGCCTCCTAGTCCCTGCCTGCCCGCACGGGCCCGCTGACTCACCTCCCCAGCTACCCGTGGCCGGGCTCCATCTCCCTCCTGCCCCGGGAATGAAGCCTTAACAGACAGTGCCATGCGAGGCCTGGCCTGAAGGCTGGGAAGCGTCTCAAGCACCTCAGGGTGTGAGGGTCCCCGCCCCAGAACACAGCTCACCAGCAGCTCACTTACTGACTCGGTAGCCCAAGCCCTCAGCATGGATCCTCTTGGCCATGAACTGCCCTTCGATCAGTGCCCGGATCTCCACAGCCCTAGGGAATGCTGAGACCTGTCCCCAGGAGAAAGCAGGCACAGTGAAAACTCCTTGGTGTCCCTTCATTGTATGTGTGCGTGCATGTGTGTGAGTGCATGCATGTGTGTGCATGAGCATGTGTGTACATGTGCATGCATGCGAGTGTGTGTGCGTGTGCATGTGTGTGCACGTGCATGCATGCATGTGAGTGTGCATGCGTGTGCGTGTGCGTGGGTGTTGTCTTTTTAAACAACAGCCCAGATTCAGAACTCATGACTCAGGCCTCCAGAGCAGCTCATACACAGCTGGGGCTCTTGACACACTAAGCACCTGCCACACATGCTCACACGAACACACTGCTCACACATACATGACCCCAGCCTCAGGCATGCTCACTTCGGGGACACAGAGCATCAGAGAACTCAGTCTCAGGCCACCAAGGGTTCAGCACTGTGACCTCAAATAAGTTAAGTAAATCTTGCTGGGATTTTCATTTTCTTCCTTAACAAAACCGAGGTCATAGTGGTACCTGTTTCAGGGTGGGTATAATGATCAAATGAGACAACAGAGCCTGGTCTAGGTGTGTGATACTAAGTGAGAACCCACAGCTGAGAAGTGTCCATCAGGCTAATGCTGATAGGCATCAACCCCAGCTTCGCCCATGCCTTAGCCCCTGAGACCAGTGACAGACCCTACCTTCTCCCTGACACACCCCGATGGGTTTGTGCAAAGGGGAACAGGCATACCTTCTCTGTATGAACAACAGAAACCAAACAGACCCTTCATCAGAAGACTGAGGTGAGCGCCGCCCCCATAGTTTATATAAAACTTTCTACTTACAACCCAGTACGTCATGACTTCATCAGCCACAAATCTGATGGCAACTGTAACAGTTACTAGACAGAGGGACTTACTCAATCCCACGTGCACGGTGGAGGGGGAGGAAACAGTGCTTCAGGACCAGGGAGGATTGGGTCTGGAGGGCCCCCTGCACCACCCAGGCCCTGGTGACTTGGGCACATGATTTAGCGTCTCTGGACCTCAGGATGCTCTAAGCATTCAATGAGGGATGCAGGGAACCACCAGCACGGTGCTTGGAGCCAAACAGCATGCAATAAATGTTAGTGCTTCCTGTCCCAGAGGCTTTTGATCAGGAAGAAATACCCGATCTGGGGACAGTGTGAGTCCTTGGGGGTGCAGGATTAAGCTTGCCAAGGGAACAGGCTCTATGGCTTTCAGTGGCAGTCAGTGTGGACACGGGTCAGCTCAGGGGAAAGCCCCGAGGTATTCTGCACTCCTCTTTGTGAGAGAGAATCGCGTCTGTCTTAGATTCTGTGGATTCCCCGGCACTAAAATACACGCCGGCACATCAAAACGTTTGCGCGAGCAAGAGCGGAGTAAATGAATGAAGTCCCTCAAGTAGCAGAACTTGGGAGGCAGTTGTTAAATTCAATACTCGAAAATGGAGCCAATTTCTCTCCAATACCAATACCACACATACCTGTCGGTTTTCTGCACTAAACCGATGGCGCCCAATAATTTCAGGGGTGATCTCCATTACGTCAAAATAAAAACCTGAAACCAGACCAGGAAGAGAGTCACTGCCGGTAATCAAAAACAAACGATAAGCCTCACAAAGACTTAGGACAGAATAGGGTAAAATGACCCCATATCTCTGTCCCCCAGAAGAGTCGGGAAAGACAGGAACTGGAAGGGCCTGGGCTAGATGCTCCTAGAGACAGTTCCGCCTACTCTTACCCAATAGCCCAGACCAGAGGCAGCTGCCCCACCAGCCCTGAAATACCAGCGCAGGTTTGATCAAGGGCAGCACATCCCCTCCCTGCTCAGAAGGCCTGGCCCAATGCTGGGCCCTCTTCCGAAGAGAACCCTGCATCTGGGGCAGAAAGCTATATACGGGCGCACACCAGGGTAGAGCAGGAGCCATGGCTGCCCTCCCCGAGGCTGTCACCAGGGGCTCTGAGGGGGACAGAGCCCTCCACTCAAAGCATGGAGAACGGCCCTACCTCGCTCAGATCATTGGGCCTCACACTAGTTTGGAAGGCCCACAGAACAGAAGGACAGACAGCTAGGGCTCCCCCTGGCTTGCTCCGTGGCCCTCCTCTCCCCCTTTCCCTGGGGCCCTCCTGTCAGCAGGTACTGCCCTTCACAGGCCTGGGCATCACCAAACCGCCTACCCAGATTCCCGCCGTTGCCCATCTCTGTGGACCGCAGAGCCTCGGAGAAATCACTCCAGGAACAGGAAGCGGCTTCATCACGGATCTTCTCTCTCATGAGGGAGCCATTTTTAAAGCTGCAGAAGTGCACACAACCCTGAGGGGGGATCCACTGCTTGCTGACTGGACCCATGTGTTTTGGTGAAGAGTCCCAGGTCGAAGGGCTGCAGGTCAGGCTGGACCACAAGCCCCAGGCAGTGGCTGGCAGAGATCTGAGGTTCTCCCTCAGGTATCAGGCCCAGCAAAGGTCCCCAGGAATCACTGGGGAAGGCTTGTCTTTGGCTCTGTTTATAGAGGTTGCCGCAAAGGCACCCCAGGGAGAGATGGGGAGCTGTGGCTTCTACACGTTATACCACCTGGACGATGGAACAGAGCTGGCTAAATTTACTAGACCTACATATCCTCCAACGGTTCCTGGGGCCTAGAGGCTCAGAAACTTCCCTGAATAGCCTCTGGCGGGTTTCCAAAGGCCTGTCATCAGGGTGCAGAGCACATCTCCTCCATGACAACTGTCAGGGGGCAGGATGTCCTTCCTACTATTTATTGAAGGTCTACCACGTGCTAGGCATGCCCTGACAACACTATGAAGTAAACCTTTTATTCTTCACATTTTATGAGCAAAGTGTGGCTCACATGTGCTATGGGGTCTGCCCCGGGCCACACAGGATATAGGTGTTGAGGATGGGATTGGAATCTGGGTTTGGGGAGGACTCCAGGTCCGGGGTTCCTCCCCACCCAGCTCTGCTGTCAGAAAAAACCCAATGAGTCCCAGGGTCTCAGAGGCCACAGAGCCTGCTGAGCAGAAGAGCCTGCGGGCTCCACATGGTGTCAGACCTGCCCACTGCCCACCAAGCCTACCACAGGAGCGCCATGTAGTGCTGGACATCAACCGGGTTGCAGAAGACGTGCCCTTCCAGGGCGGGCATGGGCTCCTGGAGCCAGAGAAATAGGGTGTCGCTGGTGCCCAGGCTGACCTGGGAAGAAATGGGCAGAGATGAGGTGCCTCTCTGCCCAGCTCCGCCAGCCCTGACCGCCTTCACTTCACTCTTCAGGCTGCAGACCTCAGATTAAATGCCACTTCCTCAGAGAAATCTCTTCTAACCCTCCCACACTAGATGGGTCCAAAGTCAGCAACCAGATTTAGGCTCTCATGGAAACTGTGGGCCGATTTTCTAGAATTTACCACAATTGCATCTAACTAACGGTTTGGGTAACAACTGGTTCCCAAATGACCTTCCCACTAGACCCAGAAGGGCACAGGTTATGTTTTCTTTATTCACCCGGGGAGCTCACAGTCCTCCGGCCCAATGTCTCACCCTTCCACCACTGTACCCACCAAGACTGGCCATTGTCAAGGGAACCTGCCTACCTGGCAAAGGCCATAACCTTCTAAGAGCAGGTCCTGGGGCCTGGGTATTCCTATCCCCTCCCTCAGCTGCCTTTTGGGACTGGCAGACCCTCTAAGAGGCAGGAAAGATGCTGCTGGGGCCCTCGTCCCCCAGGGCACAAAGAGCTGGCTGTGCCTGTGGGTGGGAGAAGTCACCTTACCGCAATGTCACCCTCCTCCAGCCTCATGCCTGCCAGCGACGCTGAGAAGAGGAGGGGAGCCTCTGATTAGCTGGAGGTCACACAGAGCCACAAAGCAAACCACAAGTCACCCCCAGATGGGAGCCAGCCCCAAACCTCCCACCCCAAGCCACATGCGAGTAGAGGCAGGAACAGGGTGAGTTGAGGGCTCTGGATGGCCCAAGGGGAGGTCCCAGGGGGTCAAAGGGTAGAGTCCCTGAGGGCAGGGCCTCCGATCTGAGCTGGGAAGCCTCTTCCAAAAGGGTCCAAAGTCCCCACCATCAGGTGCTCCCCAGAGTGCAGAGAAACAAGGGGGCCAAGTCAAGACACCAGAATACACACGGCAGAGAAAGACAGAGGTGAGGCAGGAATGTAAAGGGGGCAGAATGTAAAGGGCAGTGTCTGTCCCCCTGAGACATGAGGCCCAGAACAGCAATCTGCATCGGCCTGGCTCACTGATGCACTCTGGAACTGAAAGAAGGTCTGACATGGACCGGGGCGGGAGGGGGCTGCTCACTAAATGTCAAGTGACTGACTGGGCGAGTGAAAAGAGAAACGTGGAAGGGACAGGTAAGGTAGTCCTCCACCATGACTGCTGTGTGTGTCAGAGCCTTGGATCCGGGAGCCCCACCTCGGAGAACTTAGCCTGTAGGGATGAGGGAAAGGACAGGGTGTGAGCGTCAACACCGTTTGCATTGCCCGAGCACTGGAAGCCCCACTGACCTCCACCACAAGGGCTAGGGAAAGAAATGTGGAGCAACTGGCCCTAGGCAACCGTTAACATGATGCTGCACAAAAATATTGCCTGGGTTAGTTAAAACAAAATATGTTTACTTATGAGCACAGAAAGCAAGGTGGAAGGGTAGCCATCAAAATTTTAACTGTGGTTATCTCTGGGTTAAGAGATTATGGATGATTTTTACTCCTTCCTTTGGTTTGTCAGTATTTAACAATTTTTTTTTCCTGCAGTGAAGAGGTATCCCTTGTGAGTAAGAAAAAGAGCGTGAGCCTTGGTTAGTCTGCTTGGTTGTTGTTGTTGTTGTTTTAATGAAGGAGCAATTAATGCATGACTTAACTCAAGGTCAGACTTAGGGAGGGACCAACTGAGGGCTACCTGCCTGGTATCGCCAACATTCAGCTGGAAACCAAGGTCCAAGAGGAAGGATTGGAAAGCTGCTTCTTTGTCATTCCTGCTCAAACATGCCCAGAAGCTCACTTTAGTGGTTCAAAAGGCCCATTCTTCCCCCTGACATTCTTCTAGTTGATGGAGGTACAAGATACATTGCCTAATGAGACTCAGTGAAGTTATTTTCATTCTGAAAGTGTAGAACTTTCCTAAGTTGGTGCTCCTACACCAACCGTTCTTCTCTGAGGGAGGCTGGACCTCCCAGCTTTTAGGGCGGGTGGGAACTGGGGCCTGCGTGTCCCCTGGGAGGGGCACCAGAACCCACACACTGCAGGCTGGAGCCTCCTCTCAACCCAGGGGACAGAGCTTGGGGCTTCATGCCTTGCCACTGTGGAAATCCGGCCACTGTCCACCAGCCCCTGCCTCCTCCCCACCTTTGGACCAGGAACACTGGGATCCCTTCCCCAAAACCTGCTTTGATTGGTTCTGTGCTTTGCCAACAGGGTTCCGCGTGCCCGTCTCCAGAAATTGCCCAGGGATAGGAAAGGCCCTTGTCTGGCTCCTGGGGTTCCCTCCAGATGCCAGAACCAAGGCTGTCCCAGGAGGGAGGGGTCACAGCCAGGACACTGATGCGGCCACAGGTGTGGTAGGGATGTGCTCACTGTGCCCTCAGCTCCAGAGTAGACAGGCCGGCAGCGGACCGAGGAACACCATGAGCGTTAGCGTTATTCTCAGTGATGGCTGTAATAATAGTAGCGACTTCGGTGTTTTTCCCGATCACAAAAATATAGAGAGACACTGCAGAAAATATGGAATCTAATAATAATACTGATAATGTACCTATTGCTATTAAGGATTAATTTTAACAAGGACCACCCACGCTATTTCGAGGTATACAACTCTACTCCTAGACATATGCGTCTCTCTCTATTTATTTTGGATGCCCCCGTCCTGCTCGTCTACACAGCCAACAGAAGGAAAGTACAGAGAGGCTGGTGGGTGTTGAAATCAGGAGGAGCGCTGAAGGCAGAAAACAACTAAAAAGAAATGTGTTTCAAAGGACAGCAAAATAGAAGAAATAGAAAGCCACGCTCCCTGACCATAGAGAGAAGCAGGAGAGGCTCTAAGAAGGAAGTCAGCCTCCCTAGGACGGCAGACCCTGGCCCCACCCGGGCAGCAGCCCAGGTCCTCTGCCACGTACTTGACACCTCCTCAGAGCAGGAACTGAGGATGCTGATTTGGAGTAGAGTTGCCAGAAAAAATGGAGGACGCTCGGTTAAATTTGAATTTCAGAGAGATATACTTTGGCCCATACTTACACTAAAAAATCATTTGTTATGTGAAATTCAAATACTGCATGGGATGCACTTATCATACTAATTATTCATCATTCCTCTGAAATTCAAGGCACACTGGGTGTCCTGTATCTATCTGTATTTGCATTTACCTGGCAACCCTAATTTGGTGGCTCTTTAGGAAAAGCGCCTCAGGGGTGGGGCTGAGGGGCCGCAGTCTGATGGCACAATGTGGCCACCTGGCCTTTCTTCAGAGACCTGATGACACTTCCCAGAGTGGCTGGGGGAGGGACAAGGTGTTTGGATGAGGAATAATTCATACCCATAGATCAAATGATGGCAAGGAGACCCAAAACCATGTCCTAGAGGAAGGGCTGGAGGAACCGAGATGTTTAGCTTGGAACAGAAAAGGCAGTTAGGGAGGGGTGGGCATGACCGCCTGCCTTAACCGCTGATCATTCTCACCTGGGTGGGGGGGGGCAGCCCTTAGTGGCTCCAGAAGGCAGAGTCAGAGCCAAGGCAGGGCAGGTACAAGGCGTCAGATTTCAGGCCAGCAGCGTGGCAGGCGGCCAGGGAGGAAGGGGCCTGCCACAGAAGGGTTTCCAGAGGCTGGACTGGCATTCTCAAATGTCCAGCATGGACCAAGTCAGGCTACTTGGAGAGTGAAATCCTCCAAGGTACTCACCAGGGTTGTCCCCAGTGAAGGCCACCACTTTGCATCCTGGAGGAAATCCGTACCGCTGGATGTAGTAGGAAGAAATGGCTCCCTGAGGAGGAAAAGCAAGCATGCCCTACTGAGGCAAATCTGACCTACTCTGCACAGCCCTCCAAGCCTCAGGTCACAACAGTGTTACAAGCTCCAGGTCACTGGGCCTGCACTCACATCAGTCCCTGTCCTAAACCAGGGATGTCCCTCCCATTCACAAAAAGCCAGAGGAGCCCAGCACAGGCTTGGAACACAAAATTAGGTCATCCCACTGCCTTGAACACCACTGGATTTTGAGAGGCAGCTAGAACAAACCAATCCCCAACTTGTACTTGTTTTGCAAGCTCCAAATTCTGAGATAGCATTAGTGGGAAATAAATAACAAGGGGGAGGGCGCCTGGGTGGCTCAGTCGGTTAAGCATCTGCCTCCGGCTCAGGTCATGATGCCAGGGTCTTGAGATCGAGCCCCGCATCGGGCTCCCTGCTCAGCAGGGGGGGTCTGCTTCTCCCTCTACCCCTCCCCCCTGCTCATGATCTCTCTCTCATGCTCTCTCAAATAAATAAACAAAATTAATTAAAACATTTTTAAAAAATAGATAACAAGAGGACACACAGGAAGCAAATTCATGGAAGAAGATAATGCCCCACACCCTTGCTCTATCAGCCCAGCAATCTGATTAACCAAACACGTAAGTGCACAGGTCAACATTCTAAAGAAAATAAACCAGAAGTGGCAGTGTGGGGGAGAGAACACCCCTGGGGAAGCATGGCCCCCAGGGCTCCTCCCAGGGCAGCTGTGGGACCAGACAGCAGGGACCCCTCCAAACAGACCCATAGTCTTTAGAGAGCATAGCTATAAAGGAAAAACACTGTTTTTCCCCTTTCCCTGACTTTATCTCAGTTCCAAAAGTTTAAAACAAATGATGGGCCGTCCTGGTGTCTGGAAAGAAAATTCTGCTCCTTCCAGGAAAATTTCAGATTTACATCAGAATAAGCCATCTCCTGGGAAAGAAATATCTTGGCCCAGGTTGCCTCAAGAAACAGAGGCTGAGTCAGGGTTTGTGTGCAGGTGGCTTATTTGGGGAAGCAATCCCAGGAAACAAGAGGGGAACTGAGGAGGAGGGAGAGCCCACCCAAAGGTTAAACTGTCAAGCTGGTCCTCGCTGTGGGCAATGTCTGAGGAGCTGTGTGTGAAGGATCTGGGGGCTGTCCACCCGGGGACGGGACAGGGAGCAGCTCTCCACAGGCCCCCACTAGTGAGGGGTGCCCCGTGGAGTGTTAACTCCGTGGACTTCCACGTTTGCAGGGCGCAAACATGGAGTCACAGAAGCCCTGGGCAGAAAGTGAGAGAAATGAGATAGAGCTGGGGCAGGGTGCTGCCAGGTGACACCTGCGTGAAGCCACAGCTGCTGGCAAAATAGGCGGGTTAGGAGGCTGCGAGCCAGGGCTGGAGAAGCGTCCGATATCATATATCCCAAATACTTTCCTGCAGAAAATGAGTAAGCTATCTGGGCACTACCTGCAGGAGAAGGGATGATGGGAAACATGGATTCGGCTTGCTTTCCCCCGTCACATGGGTACATATGTTACAAAAAAAAAATACCCTTTTCAGAATTGGTTCTTTTCTGTTCCTCAAGCTGCTAGTCTGTGCACGGGCTCCCTCCTGGAGGCATGCGTTCCTGGCATAAGGCAAACAAAGCCTGCTGCCATGGACCAAACACTGCCCTCCAGCTCACACAAAACCAGAAGCTGTGCATGGAATACCAATCCCAAAGGCTTGGCCGTTTAGTTTCCTGTTTGCCCTTCCTTATTCTTTCCGCTGGGCTTCAGCGGGCCTGGGTCCTGAACTGTCCCTCGAACTCCCCTCCAAGGCGGGGGACACCCTTCCCTAAGCTCTGTGCATCAGAGATGATCTCCGAAAAGTGGCTGGGACTTGGAACGGGCAGCACAAGCGGGCCTCAGGGACCTTCTCCTTCCTTCCCACCGCGCTCAGAACCACCTAGAATTCTTGCTCTTCTCAATGTCTGGCATGTGCTCCCACCAAAAGGCCCCTGAGGGCAGGGCCCAGGTCTCCCTCTACTCCATACTCTCCACAGAACAGCCACGAACGTAGTTAACTAGGGGACACGAGTGTCTATTCTGAATGGGGGTGCCATGCTATTTTGCATCTTTTGCTATGGAGTTGAGTTCTTTATATATTTTGGATACTAACTCCTTGTCACATATATGATTTTTAAATATTTTCTCCCATTCCATAGGTTGCCTTTTTGTTTTATTGATGGTTTCTCTTGCTGTACAGAAGCTTTTAAATTTGATGAGGTTCCATTTGTTGATTTTTGCTTTTCTTGCCTTTGCTTGTGGTGTCAAGCCCAAAAAAATCATCACCAATGCCTGTTTTCTTCTAGGAGTTTTATGGTTTCAGGTCTCACATTCAAGTCTTTAATCCATTTTCAGTTAATTTTTGCACATGGTGTAAGTTAGGGGTCCAATTTCATTCTTTTGCATGTGGCTGCCCTAAATGTTTTTAATATTACCCTTGGGACCACGCACTATCTTAAACAATTTATCTGTTTTTATTCTTTTTAAAAAAATTTTTTAAAGGTTTTATTTTTAAGTAATCTCTACATTCAGTGTGGGGGTCGAACTCACAACCCCAAGATGGACAGTCATATGCTCTACCGACTGAGCTAGGCAGGTGCCCCTATCTTAAGCACTTTAAACGCATCAACTCATTTCTTCTGCACAACGGCCTGATGACATAGAAAGTATCATTGTTCCCACTGTTTCGGGAAAGATGGAAATGATGGGGAAACTGAGGCACAGATTAACGTTACAGAGTCAGTGAGTGGCTGAGGCAGGGTTCCAGCCCGGGCAACCTGGCGCCAGAGCCTGTGCTCTCCCCAGCTCGTTCATATTTCTTTCTGTTTTCTCCAGACTGCCTGCTTCAAGCTTCAGAGGTGGTTCCTAGCCCTAGAATGTCAACATTCTGTGTATTTTTTCCTAAAGTGTGCAATCACCCACCACTTATATTTTCCACTTTTCTTCCTGTTCTAATAAATTTCTAGTGGAATTTTCCAAGGTCTCCCTTATCTTACACCTCACCGCCATGAGGCAGTCATCCGTGCATGCACCTGAGTACCTGCTAAATGCAAAGCATCTGGCTTCGATGTACGTCAAACACTTCTCACACTAGCCTGACAATCCCGTGTGTGTACGCCTGTGTGTAAATAAATGAATGAGGGTGACTGTGTGTGTGTGTTCTGCACTGCCCGGCCCAGTCGCTGCCAGCGCTGAAATGAGCCGCGTCACCAGCAAGGGGACCTACCACCACGGAGCACGATGGTACGGGTGCGCCAAGCTTCTCCTCTAAATGAGGCGCACAGGCGCCAAGGCAAACCTGCGACCAGACTTTGTCCTGGATCTGCAACAAATTCATTCCAGAACCTAAGGAATGAAGGAAATAAGAAACAGAAATATCTCTGAAAAGGACCTGTTGTGGACATGCACCCATCTGGCAGAAAGCCGACTGATCTCTTGCAGCAAACTCAGACCTGGAGCTCTTTCCCAACGGAATGTATACAGTGTGCCTGGGTCATTATGCAACTAGAGAGCCAGAGAACCAGAGGTCAGCAGGGCCCTTGGAAACACATGGCCCCACCACCTCCTCCAGATAGTCAGTCCTCACGTCAGCCTGGGAATCTGCAGTCCTAAGACCCGACACTACACTGACGAGGAACTGTTCTTCGTGTCCCCTGGGGTTCAAGGGGTCTGCTCAGAGGCAGCCCCATGCCGATGTGGGTAGCCCTCAGGCTTCCCCAGTCACATCTAACTTTTCAAGGAAGTCACTGAGATCAGCTCACGAAGTGTGTCTGAAAACAATCTACATCTCCCAAGGCTTTCCTGAGGATGGCAAAGGGGAGAGAAGCCAGAGCACAGGAGGAGGGCTCTCCTCTTCCTTCCCCACTGGGCCCAGGTGGAGGCAGACAGCCGTCGGCCTGGATGCTGATGGCGTCACGCACCCAAGTGAGGAGGTGAGATGGCTGGGAATCAGGGGGTGACTTCTCAGGTGAGTGAGGAAGCAGAGCGGAGGGCCTAGCCGAGGCTGTAGAACCGGAACTTTGGAATGCCCACAGAAGTGGGGCCATGATGCTTCCCAGCAGCACTTCACAGCCCGGGGTGGACACGGGCTACTCCAGGCTTAGGGCTCTGCTGGCCTGACTTGTGTGGAGCTACTTGTGGGAGTCCTTTCTTCTCCAGATTGTGAGTGAAGCTGGGAGACCACCGCCTGGGCACCTTACTTTCTCTCCCTGAACGCTAGAATAGTATGTGGCATACGACAGCACTCGGACAACTCCAGATGGATTCCCAGGAGGCTCTGAGCATTCCGAGACTCTTCTGAAGCCACGCGAATAGGTCCAGGCTCGTGCTCTGCACTCGGCTCCCATCTGCGCTTCACAGGCCTTCTAGCCTGGCCTCATGCAAAAGTGCCTTCGGCAGCCTCCTCCCAGCTCTCCTTCCTCACTGGCATCGCTTACGTTAATTTTTGGCAAGGCGTTGACTCCAGAAACTCACCACTCCCTCAAGTTCCCCAAATGTGAACACAACTTCAAGAAACAACTCCTTGTGGGAGCCAGGCTCCAAGATGGCTCATGCTTGTTGCCAAGCTCCGCTGTTCACACCTAATGAGGTCCCTGCCTTCCTGTACCTGGGTAGGTCTGTGCGACCAGCAGGGTGGGCCAGAAGGGATGGCATGTCACTTCCAAGGTTAAGGTGTAAAAGATTCTGCAGCCTCTGCTTGGCCGCCCTCTCCTCTCATCCGCGCTGGGCGGACGGGGATCCAGCTCCAGTGTCATTGGTGTCCTATGGAGGTCCACATGGTGAGGGAGTGAGGCCTCTGGCTAAGAGGTCTGGGGCCCTGGAAGTGGATCCTCCAGCCCCAGTCGAGCCTTTCGATGGCTGGTCCTGGTTGCCAGCTTGAATGCCACCTCATGAGAGCCCCTGAGCCAGCACCACCCAGCTCAGCTGCTCTCAGATTACAGACATGCAGAAATTCTGTGAGATAATAAACACTTGTGGTCGGGGCACCTGGGTGGCTCAGTTGGTTAAGCGTCTACCTTCCGCTCAGGTCATGATCTTAGGATCCTGGGAACGAGCCCCACATCAAGCTCCCTGCTCAGTGGGGAGTCTGCTTCTCCCTCTGCCCCTCCCCTCATTCATGCTCTCCCTTTCTCTCTCAAATAAATAAATAAAATATTTAAAAAATAAAGTTCCTACTCTGCTAAGCAGTGCATTAGACAAAAAAAAAATTAAACAGTTGTGGTCTTTAGCTGCTAAGCATTGGGGTCATTCGTTACACAGCAAAAGATAACTAATACACTCCCTTCATGGCAAAATATGAAAGGGCTAAAAGTCTGGCACCCACCTGGGGGGATGAGGCCCACACCACCCACAGGCATGCACGTCCATACTGAACAGGCACACCCCCCAGGACTCTGAAGGCTTACCATCACTGTAGTCGATAGGGGCGTAAGACCCAAGGAAGAGGGAAGCAGCAAAACTACTGACCAAAGAAATTCTCTGTGAAAGAGAGAAACACAGTGAGATAGGCCACATTTCCATAAGCAACTGAATACTCTGATACGCACCATCCGAGAAGAGTTTTAAACTGGGGAGGGAAGTGGAAACATTGAGTGAGATGCCCCAGTAATGGCAGTGACCGAGTATCTGGAATACCAAGAACTGAGTCTTTGGGAGAGCACCTACCTCACTCTGCAGTTCCTGACAGGCCAGAAAACTATCAAGTCCAACAAAGAGAAAAGAGCAACAAGGCCTAGGAAAAAGCCATGCTTAAGGAAGTGGCTTTTCTGCCCAGCAACCAGGGAGCGTGGTGCCTGATTTCCTTCCTCCGTTTCTGTGGTCTTTATAGCTAGTCCCAAGGGAAGTGGGATGTGTGGCCAGAGGATTCAGAACAAAGATACTCTCGGGGGTTCAGAATAAATATGAGTGAAAGTCGGCCCCTCAGAAGCACCAGAGCCCAGGCATGAGCTGGAGAAACTGATAACGGATTTCAAATGTCCCCCGCAGGGTCCGTGCTTCCACATGGGACTCAGGGGCCCTTGGACCACAGCAGAGAATGCCAGCACCTTTTTTTTTTTTTTTAAAATATTTTATTTATTTGAGAGAGAGAGAGAGAGAAACAGCATGAGAGGGGAGAGGGTCAGAGGGAGAAGCAGGCTCCCCGCTGAGCTGGGAGCCCGATATGGGACTCGATCCCAGGACTCCGGGATCATGACCTGAGCCGAAGGCAGTCGCTTAACCAACTGAGCCACCCAGGCACCCGCCAGCACCTCTTGTACCCCCTCAGGCCACCTTTGTTCCACACAGAGTGTGGAGAGGGTTTTTCATCTCTGCCCTTACCCCGCCCCCGCCCCCCCCCAAAATCTACACGGCTAATGCTAGAGTAATCTGGAACCTTGAGTCGTCACGTAATAAATGGGATGTTGTTAACGCCCAAGATTAAAAAGGCACTCTGGTTTAACAAGCGCTGATCATTTTCTAATGATCCAGAGATGAAAATCACTAGCCAAGCTGTGGAGCTGCTTGCCAGACGGCATTAAGAGCTGGCTTGCAGCACCTGTGGGTGGAGGACCGAATCTGAGCTCCTGGGACACAGGCTCTGGCTGAAGGGCCACAGCTGGGGACACATGGGTCCAGCTTTCCCCATTTCCAAAGAAAACATCAAGCCCATGCCAATCAAGAGCCTGGTAGCCATCCTGCACTAACCATGCAGGAAACTGAGGGGACAGACACTAGCAGGCACCCGGACCAACTACTCAGGTGGCCCCAGAGAGACACCAGTCCCCACAGCTCCCACCCTGCCCTTAACCTCTGCCCCGCCTGGTCAGGAGAGGCCCTGACTTCTCTTTCCCATGATTCCATTCTCTCCCTCCTCTTTGGAAAGGGCTTGCCAGTGAGAAATAAGCAAACTGAATATATACCATTTCTAATGTCTGCTAATCAATGTTTTTGGCCAGTGCACACGAGATGTATTTATGCTAAAGGTATTATAAAAGAAATTCAACTGTGATTTAAATCAAATAGGAACGTTTCACCAACCTCTGTCTGTGAGTAGGCCTCGGGATTCTGCTGGTAAATCTTTGCAATTTGGTTTCCTGTAAAACGCTGAAAAAAAATTGCAGATTCTTAAAAACCCAACTCCTACGTGCAGTGATCGTCTCTGGAACTTGAGGCTGGCATAGCATGCTCTATATATGAGTTAGTATTGTGAAAGCTTTACAAAGGCCTCAAATCTAGAAATGTTGGCTGAACACCCTTAGTGAATAAGCCTTGCTCCTCACCCGGCACGGTGACTGTGCAGACCAAGGGCGCCTGCGCAGAAGACGCAGGTATGTTCTCCACCCCTCCCTGTTGTTTTTTTTTAAAGCCGGTGGCCCAAGAAGGGTCACATGACCGGAGCTGGGCCAATTGCAGCCAGCCTGGAACGGTGGCCGAAGCCAGTGGGAAAGAGGCATTCTTTTTTTTTTTTTTTTTAACCTTTCCAGGAGCTGCACTAAGTGCCTTGCATACATTGACTCCTTTCAAAACTGCCCAAAGTGTAAGTGCTATTTGTATCCCAGGTTAGAGGCTGAGGTAGAGGTGACATCATGACCCCGCACAGCGCACAGTCACGGTCACACCTCAGCCCCCCGCTGGGCAACGGGAGGCCCGTCCTTGCTCATGGGTGGCAGAAGGAGGCAGGACAGCCTTGAGCAGAACCAGGGGCCAGAAAGCCCAATCCTGGCTCTGCAGGGGCGACACCCACAGGGCCTCATGTGATCCCCACTGGGGCAGGTCACCAGCTGTGTCCTCCTGGACACCCAGGGACAAGGGACCCGAGCCAGCAACAGGACCTTCCTCCCGGGGCCAACCCCAGCCCCCAGCCCCCAGCCCCCAGCCCCCGGCGGGCGCTGCGCACCTCATAGGCACGGGAGCCGGTGAGGCCGCTGAGAGCCTGGGCCCCGCCCATGGCGGCCTCCAGCCCGCGGCACTGGGCTGTGGTGCTGGAGTCCATCCACACCGGGCTGTCCCTGATGGAGAAACAGGCCTGGAAAGGAGGAACGAAGGCACAGGTTTGAATTCTGCCGGCTGACTCTGGGAGCCGCCCTGGCTCTGGCAGTTCCACAGCCAATCACAGAAGGTGTGGGCACCTCCTCTCTGGACGTGACCTTGGAAGACCCGCCAAACCTCGGCTTGGCGCAGTGGCGTCTCTCCCCAGAGGGCTCAAGGGAGAAGGTTCTGATGAGGACCCCTGAGTACCACAGGCAACACTGGGGGATGCACTGGGGAGGGCTAGAACTACAGCAAAGTGCAGTTTCTCAGGGACCTTTGCAGCCAGGAACCATGGAGAAGACAGAGCCTGCCTTCCCAGTACCACCAGGAGGCATCATGCCCCAAGGGGAGATCTCTGAGGGGGAAACTAGCCAGAGCCATGCCTGGCAGAAAAGGACCCGTGAGGAGGGCTATGCACCTGACCCTCTGTCCAGACACCAGCTATTTCCACCAGGAGGCAGGGGAGACCATGTTCACCACACTGCGGCTGAGCCAAGTTCCTATACCCTTGACAATGCACAAAAGCCCCAGACTTCTGGGCCTGCAGAGGCTTGGGCCCTTCTCCCCTCAGTTACCTGTAGCTGCTTATGTAACAGGAGGTCTGGTGATAGGCTTGTCAGCACCCGGCTGGCCCCAGCCTTCCAGTATACACTTCCATGTTGCTGTCAAGGGAAAACCCAAGCACACGTTCACATGGCCCACACACTGGGATCACCTCCTGGAGACACAGAAAGACTCCAGACCACACCCCAAAGAACTGGCTCCAAGCCTGCCCCTGCCACTTCTTACTCACAGAACTCATCCCCTTTCTGAGACTTGGTTTTCACCTCTAGAAAATGAGAACTCTGGGGGCGCCTGGGTGGCTCAGTCGGTTAAGTGACTGCCTTCGGCTCAGGTCATGGTCCTGGAGTCCCTGGATGGAGTCCCGCATCGGGCTCCCTGCTTGGCGGGGAGTCTGCTTCTCCCTCTGACCCTCCCCCCTCTCATGTGCTCTCTCTCTCTCTCTCTCTCATTCTCTCTCTCTCAAAGAAATAAATAAAATCTTTAAAAAAAAAAAAGAAAATGAGAACTCTGCCCTGTCCACCTCACAACTTATAGGAAGAGTTCAAGAAAGAATTAGTGGTTTGGATTTTGGTATCCTTGTAAAATTGTATTTAAATATATTGCTCATATTACCTGAAATTCATTCTTTTGTTCAGTTACCCGTTCATTCATTCAACAAACATTTCCTGAGCACCTAGATCGTGCCAGGTGATGGGATAGATGAATAGAATAGTACTGTCCCTGTTCTCTACGATATTGTCTTTGAGTCAGGGAGAAAGACACAAACACACAATTACAAAACCCTATGGATGTGCAGTGGCAGGGCAGTGGGGACACAGAGGAGGGGCATCGAACGAGCTGGTAGAAAGGACATGATTAGCAGGAAAGGAGCCGGAGTTGAGTGTGTGGGTGCTCCACGCGGAGAGCAAGCGCGGCTGAGAGAGCCTGGCAGGTGTGGAGAGTGGTGGCGCTCCACACAGTGGGCTGAGTCTTGGGTGGGAGGGAGGTGGTGGGGGCTAGAGGTGGAGGCGGCATCCTGAGCACCAGGGCCTGGACATACATGCTCAGGAGGTGGGGGTTCATCTTGGAGGTGTGGGAACTCTAGATTAGCAGGGGAATGACATGGCCAGGGCTGAATGTATGGAAGGGTCTGGAGGAGTCACGGAGAAGGTATGTGGGAGGCAGGGAGGCCTAAGCAGAGGACCAGAGAAAAACCGTAGATATTCAGCCTGGGGCAAAAGAGGAGGATTGGAGAAGAGGTGGTAGATTCAAGAGTCACGTAACCAATCAACAGGACACGGGTACCCCTTGGACGTGGGTTCGAGGATGACAGGTTGTGGCCCTGGCACTCAGTCTAGCACATGGTAAGTTGGAGGTGTTCTTGGGACACCCGGCCATGGGGTTGGGGGACGCCCACGAGGGAGAGGGTCTCCCAGCCTGGGGTTCAGATGAGAGAGGTGGACGGGATCCCCCAGGGAATCTGTTTCTGTTTAACAAGGACAGGAGCGTTAAATTCCTGTTAGGTTGGAGGGTAGGGGAAAAGAGGTGGCTTCAGAAAAATTAGTAAGCGCTCTCTCATGAGGATGTGAAAGCCGGCTAAGCCACCATGGAGCAAAGTGATTCAGATGGTAAGACTCAACTTGGGTCCTGACTCCTCCTCCAGGCAGCTGTGTGACCTTGGGTAAGTGACATCACCCCTCTGTGCCTCAGTGTCCCCATGTAAATGGCAATGATATTAAAGGCAGTAGCTAAAACTTAAATTAAGTTTTTATGCATTATGTATTTAACATTCACATCGACCCTAAGGCAGATGAGGGCACGGAGGCACCAGAAAGTTCGATGACATGCCCCAGTCACTGCTTTTAAATGGCGGGCCTGGGGACAGAGCCAGGCAGCAGACCCAGAGCTCCCGTGCTAACCGCACCCTGACACCACCCCATAAAATCACTGTAACGATCAGGTTAAATAGTGTACATAAGAGGCACCTGGGTGGCTCAGTTCGTTAAGCAGCAGACTCTTGGTTTTGGGTCAGGTTGTGATCTCAAGGGTTGTGAGCCCTGCGTTGGGCTCTGCACAGGGCACTGAGTCTGTTTGAGATCCTCTCTCCCTCTCCCTCTGCCCCTTCCCCTGTTCACACACACTATCTCTCTCTCTCTTTCTAAAAAGAAAAAAAACAGGGGCGCTTGGGTTACTCCGTTGGTTAAGCGGCTGCCTTTCAGCTCAGGTCATGATCCTGGAGTCCCAGGATCGAGTCCCGCATTGGGATCCCTGCTCAGCCGGGAGTCTGCTTCTCCCTCTGACCCTCCCCCCTCTCATGTGCTCTCTCTCTCTCAAATAAATAAATAAAATCTTTAAAAAAAAAAAGAAAGAAGAAAACAGTATATGTAAAATGCTCGGCACTGCACCTGGCCTGTACTAAGTGCTCAGTGTGTTTTGTTATTATTTTTACTAATATTGCTACTACTAAAACTGCTATCATTAGGAGTATAATTTCTGACTTTGCCTCTACTTCCTGGAAACAGAAAAGCAATGCTAGTGCTCCCAGACAGGCATCATAAATGCACGTCAAATGCTTCCTCCACCCCGTTAGAGGACCTCTATCTGGTTCTTCCTCACCCAGCGTCCTGTTCTGTATAATGCTTCACAGTCCCAGCCGCCCCAGATCCTTCAGCAAGGAGGCAAGCTCTACATCCTCCAAGGTAGAAGAGCGGCAGGGGTCTTTACCAACAACAGAAAGCATGCAGCGGCTCTCAGGAAGCATAATTCCCTCCAGGGGAGCCCCACACCCATGCCCGACAGCTGCCCCACACGCCGCAGGGAGGCTGTCACAGACAAACCTGGCCCGCCCCAGATAGGGCGAGGACTTGAGAGAAGTCGAAGCCCGAAGCCTTCATCCTCTCCAAGATGATATCCAGAGCCTGAGAAGACAAACGGAGCTCACCGTGACTCTCCAGAACCACTGAGTCATGCAAACCCATGGGCCTCAGCACTGAAACCCAAGTGCTTACCATTATCCCGGAGATGCAAAAGAGCTGATGGCTTGGGATAGATAAGCCCTGGAATAATTAATTAAAGTAGGCACCCACCAAATAAAAAGGTGAACCATGGTAAAAATAGCTTAAATAGAGGGAATCAGAAACCACTGGTCCCTCAAATTCTGCTTCTCCAATTTGACTTCCAAGCGCTCAGGAAGAACAAAAACAAGGTGGATCAAATTGTGGTTTCTTTTATTTGCATTTTCAACCCACTGGACTAGTGGTGTGACTTCACTGCAACAGAGTGGTGAAGAGCAAAGTAGACGGCCCCCATCAGAGAGGGGGCCAGGCCTAGATTCCGTGTGTCCAGGAGCACCAGGCTGGAAGGAGTAGGTAGAGACGGTGGCCATTTGTCCCAATCCCCATTCTACCCTCCACCATCTGGGTGTAATCTTCTTTCTTGCAAGACCCCAGTGTGGGAGAGATGGAGCTGCCTGCCCAGAGCTCCCCTAAGATTTCAGGGCAGGAATTAGAGAGTCACCCCAGGCTGCTGGAGCTTTGACCTGACACCACCATCCCTGCCCTCTGCTGGGAGGGCTCCTCTCGAGGCCCTGGCTGTGGATGCCAACTCCGCCCTCCTGGCCAAACCTTGAGCATGGAGCAGGGCATGGCTGGAGGGGGGACTGGCAAAGCTAGAACAGGTCCAATCCTGGGGGGCTGCTCATAATTAGAAATCATGTGGCCCCACCTCCACTGTGACTCTGACTCTCTGTCCATTGTTCATCACTCCAAGTTAAGGACCCAAACTATCGAAACCCCTGACATTATCACTGGGACTTCTAGACACTGACTCTTGCCTGTCACCCCCATTGCCCCTTGGTCTGGCTCAGCCCTAAGAAGTCCATTCTAGCTGGCCTGTCTGGTGGAAAGCTGTCCTTTACCCCAGTCCTCCAGTATGAGTCAGGGTCAAGTTGATTAAAAAAAAAAAAAAAAAAGTTTTTTTTAAATTACACTAGTTATCTTAACAGAAAGAATTTAGGAGAGGGAATTACATAACCAGGTATTGGAGGACTGAACCAGCTTTGGCAGACACACTGAGCACTGCCTTTGGCTGGCTTCCAGTTTCAGTGTCTGGGGACCCCCGAGGCAGACCCAGCCCTATCATGCTGGTCTGTACAGGCCATGCCCCTGGTCCCGCGGCTCCATGGGTCACCCATGTTTAGCAACAGGCATCTTCCTTTCTTGTTGGTCCTGAGCAGGCAGGCCTGGCTTGGGGTCCATCTGAGCCTGAACACTAAGACGCCAGTGCTGTGTCTGGATCTCAGGGTACAAGGGTACCATGTACCGGAGGGCCTCCTGCAGAGTGTTTGGCAAAGTTTTGAGAAAATCAGTATTCTGAAGATGGCTACTTCCTGGCAGGGCCTGCAAGTGCTCTAATAACAGACCTGCAAGCCCTCTCAGGCTCACGAGTACTGACACCAGCCGAGGCTGTGTCTAGCCTGAGAAGCCAGGCCGACTCCATTTCCCAATGAGGACCTGGTCTCAACAGAGGGTCAGGGATCCCTGTGCTTACCTGGACCCACATCAGGACTGGAGAGGTCACTGTCAGCCCGTCCTCGTGAATGTGAACTCCACCCTGAGTCCTACAAGGAGAACAAGACAGAGTGCTGGACAGGGCCTTGGGTGGGGGCCCGGTGGGGACAGACCCTGGATCCCTCCAGTGGGAAAAGAAATGCCCCTTCCCCAACATCGGTGGGAACTCTAAACGGAACAAGACTGAACAGTGCTGGCAAGATGGAAAGAGAAGTCCTGGAAATTGCTCAGGGGTGACAATTCTCAGAAAACACCAGCAAAAACAAACCTTCTAAATATGAAGGGCTTGCCCTGGAAGGCAGGCATGGTGTCACTTGGCGCTGTGGCCATGAGGGAACTAGGGGGTGCAGGGTTGGATCAAAGCCCTCCCAAGCCCACTGGGTTTGGAGAGGTAGAAGGGATGCACTACACAGAGGGGCTGCGTCTGCAGGAAAAGTTCTTGGCTATCAGACCAGGGAGTCGTTGGATTGCAAGCCTGGAAAGTTGCCTGGACCCCTCTCCCTCCCCCCTATAAGGCCCTCGTGGAAATAACTGATTTGACAAAATCCAACCCTCTCAATGATGAGTTTATCTTTATTTTTAAAGGTTTTATTTATTTACGTGAGAGAGAGAGAGCACAGAGGGAGAGGGAGAAGCAGACTCCCTGCTGAGCAAGAAGCCCGATGCGGGGCTGGATCCCAGGACTCTGAGATCATGACCTGAGCTGAAGACAGACGCTTAACCGACTGAGCCACCCAGGTGCTCTTCAATGATGAGTTTAAAACAACAACAACAGGGCACCTGTCTCCAGAGTCAATGCAGGTGTCCCTAAGCAGGTGAAATGGATAAATTGTGGGGGGGGGGGGGGGGGGGGTGTGTGTGTGTGTGTGTGTGAGAGAGAGAGAGAGAGAGAGATACGGAGTACTACACGATAATAATAATAAAAAAGTGAACTACTGATACACACACCAACAGTGATGAATCTCCAATGACCATGCTGAGTGAAGGAAGCCAGCCACAAGAGTCCATATTACATGATGCCACGTATATAACATGCTAGAAAGCGCAAATCCACCTGTGTGAAAAAGCAGATCAGTGGTTTCCCAAGTCCAGCGGGAAGGAAAGGATGGAATGCAAAGGGGCACAAAGAATCTTCTGGGAGCGATGTAGACAGTTTGTATACTAATTTTGGTGGTACTTTCCCAGCTACAGGTCTGCCTATAGATATTTATATTTATATTTATAGATATTTATATTTATATTCAGATGCACTGAATTGTACATTTTAATGGATGTCCTTTTTTCATACACAAATGATACTCAATAATAATGACATTTTTAAAAAGATACTATTAGGAAAAAAGTGAAAAAGAGCAGGAAACTTTCCCACAGACAATAAAAACCATCAGAAAAAAATGTTGCCTTTACAAAGCACATGATAATTGCAACCAAACAGTCCATGTGTATTTAGCAACTTAAAATTGGCAATTCCTGCTAGGAGGGAAGACCGGCACTCCCCCACACCTGCCAAAGCACCAGGCCCAAATGGTTTCACACAACAATGCTCTGAAACCTTTAAAAAACAAGTATTTCTAATATTATTTACCTTGGAATTTTCCAATTCTTTTTATGAAAAAAATATAAAATCAACACCAAAACCTAACAAATACTGTACCAAAGTACAAGTAACAGAAGAAAAAACTGATTAAATAGACAATCAAAATTTAAAACTTTTGTTTCAAAGGACCATCAAGAAAGTGAAAAGACAAGCACAGAAATGGGAAAAAAGTTTTGAAATCATATGTCTGATAAGAAACTTGTATCTAGACTATCTAAAGAACTTTTACAACTCAGTAATAAAAAGACAAATAACGCAGTTGAAAAATGGGCAAAGGATCCAAGTGGACATTTCTCCAAAGAAGATACACAAATGGCCAAACGTACTCAACATCACTGATCATTAGAAAGACGCAAATCAACAGCACAACGAGCTACGACCATTTCATGCCCACTAACATGGCTGTGATCTATAATCAGAAGACTAGTAAAAAACAAATGTTGGCAAGAACATGGAGGAATTGCAACCCTCCTATACCACTCGTGGGAATATAACATGGTACCGTTGCTTTGGAAAAGTCTGTCAGTTCCTCCAAATGTTGAACATAGAGTTACCATAGGACCCATTCATTTCACTCTTAGGTATATACCCAGTGGAAATGAGAACACATGGCCACACAAAAACTTGTACACTAGATTAGTCAGCTTGGGCTGCCATAACGAATACCACGGATAAAGTGGTTTAAACAACAGGCATTTATCCTGTCACAGTTCTGGAGGCAAGAAGCCCATGATCAAGGTGCTGGCAAATTTGGTTTCTGGTGAAAGCATTCTTCCCATGTGCAGATGGCTACCTTCTCGCCGTGTCCTCTCTGTGCGTACCGGGGGGGGGGGAGGGAGAGAGAGAGATCTTCCTCTTATAAGGACACCAGTCCTATTGGACTAGAGCCCACCCTTACAACCTCATTTAACCTTAATTACTTCCCTAAAGGCTCTATCTCCAAATACAGCCACACTGGAGGTTAGGGCTTCAACATGCTTTTTCAGGGGGCGGGAGAAGTCACAATTTAGTCTATAATATCCATGAATGTTCATAGCAGGATTATTCATAATAGCGAAAGAGTGGGATATCTGGCAACTGATGTATGGATAAACAAAATGTGGTACTATCCATACAATGGAACATTATTGAGTATATTATAGAAACGAATGAAGTACTGATATCATACAACATAAACTTGGGAAACGTTATGATAAGTGAAAGAAACTTGCCAAAAATGACCACATATTGCGTACATTCATTTATAAGAAATGTTCAGAATAGGCAAATCCATCGAGACTGTGGTTGCCAGGGTTGGAGGAGGGGCATAGGGCGTGTACTGCTAGTGGGTACGGGGTTTCTTTTTGAGGAGATGAAAATGTTCTAAAATTAAATAGTGGAGATTGTGACACAGTTCTATGAGTATATTAAAAACCACCGAACTGTACATTTTAAAAGAGTGAATTTTTTGGTACATGAATTCTATCTCAATAGAGCTTTAAAAAAAAAAGATATGATGGGGGGGATGACCCTGTATTAGTTAATTTCCATGCCTCGACACAGTTGAAGGTCAGTTCTCACTCACGTAAAGCATCATCAGTGGTGTGCTGGGGACCAGGAATGCGGAGTTGTCGGCGGGGGGGGGGGGCTCCGTTCCCTGCAGTTATTCAGGGACCCAGGAGGACGGGGGGGGGCCTTCTCATCTTCCAAGTGGTTTCCAAGGCTGCCCTGGACACTCGCATCCAGCCACAGGACCCAGGGAGACACAGGGCAGAGGATCACAGTGGGCGTCGTATGGTCTCGTAGAGAGGCCTGTTCACTTTCTCTCATGTTCTGCTGGTTAGGACTCAAGTTACACGGCTGAACAAAACTGCAAGGAAGGCAGGAGTATGCCCAGGAGGAGAAGGAAAGAAGTCTGGTAGATCGCTGGTCAATGGCTACAAAAGTCCCCATTTACATTAGAAAAAGATACAACAGTCAGAAAGTTTAAAATGTTACAGGTACCAGGTGGTTTTGCCCTGTTACAAACCACTTCACAGCTAAGTGACCGGAAACTACTAAGCTCATTTAGCTCACAATTCTGTGGGTCACTGGGCTGGGCTCAGCCAGGCTCCCTCTGTGTGTCGACTAACAGTAGCTAGAGGGCCAGAAGGCTCTGCCTCTGGGGGCCAGCCGCTGCTTCTCTTAGCTGGAGATACAGGGGAACTTGGCCACGTGTCTCTCACTCTCCAGCAGGCTGGCCTGAGCTTGGTCACGTGGTGGCTGGGCAGGGTTCCAAGAACGAAAGCAGAAGTCAGCAAGGCCTTCTTGAGGCTTAGGTCTAGAACCGCACAATGTTATTTCCCTCACGTTCTACCGGTTAAAATCCACAGGTCGGGAAATGACTCCCATCTCTTGACTGAAGGAGCTACAGAGTCATACTGCAAAGGGCCTGGGTGTAGGGAGGGGTGGGGAAGAATGGTCCTTTCTGCAATATATCCCAATGTGCACGATCCATATGTCAAACATATCAAAACCCACGTGAAGTATTCAAAAGAAGCCTTGAGGGAGGCCTGGGTGGCTCAGTCGTTAAGCGTCTGCCTTCAGCTCAGGTCATGATCCCTGGGTCCTGGGATCGAGCCCCGCATCGGGCTCCCTGCTCAGCAGGGAGACTGCTTCTCCCTCTCCCTCTCCCTCTGCCTCTCTCTCTCTCTGACAAATAAGTAAATAAAATCTTAAAAAAAAAAAAGCCTTGAACAAATGGAAAGACAAAACATGTGCCTTGATAGGAAAACTCAATCTCATAAAGTTGCCAATTCTCTGCAAGTTAATTCATAAATGTAATATGATCTCAATAAAAATATTAACCATGTTGCTTTCTGGAACCTTAAAAGCTGATTCTACAGTACATATCAAAAAAGAACAAGAACGTCCACGGACACTGAAGAAGAGTCAGAGGGGACCAACAATTCTAGATATTAAATCATATTATAAAGCTGGAATAACTAAAACCACACATTACTGGCTCATGAACAGACCCCCCAACCAACGGAACAAAAGAAAACGCCCAGCAATTGACCTAACCATACACAGAAATTAGCATATAAAGCTGGCATCTCAAATCAGTGAGGTAAAGATGGGCATCTAAAAATATGGTATTAAGACAATTGGAGAGTCATCAGGAAAAAATTGGAGCTGGATATAAATGTCATGCCATACACCTAAACTCCAAACATTTTTATATAAGAATACTGAAACTTTACAAGAACTAGAAGAAAACGTAGGCAAATTCCTTCACAGTCTCCGAATGAGGAAGGCCTTTCAAACCGTGACTCCAAATCTGGAAGCAACAGGAAAAGGCTGAGAAATGCAGTAGCACAGGAAACAAAACCCTGTGTTGTTTGCCACCGCCCACAAGCAAGTCAAAAGCAAACTCAAATCTGAGAAACATATTTGCAATTCATTTAACAACAAAGAGCTCATTCCTCTAATATA